CTGGGAAGAAGATAAACGCATGTTGGGAAAAAGAAGGGAAAAATACTCTCTGAAATGATTTGATTCTCGGTTGGCGCTGAAACCATAAGTTGTCACTGATTTCTTAATATAACGAATAAGCCTGCATTTAGCATGAGAAAAAGCTATTGGTTATGAGGATATGGACGAAGGAAATTGATTGGTCACATTGTCACTCCGCGCAACTAGGAAATGCACGCGTTACGGTTACGTGGTTACCGTTACCCGGTAAAATTGACACTGCCAACCAACATGGTTCTTTTCAACCAATGAGGGCGTGCTTTGGCTCAAGGTGAATAGCAATAAACAATTTCTTATTTCGTGTGCTTTTATTATAAAATGAGGTGTCTTTGTTGGTTTATTTTCAAGAAAGAGGGCAAAACAATGATTTTTAAACGATAAATCCAAATACAAATTGCATTTCATGTTTCAGTAGCATTGATTTTAAACCGCCCAAGAAAATGTGCAGCAAAGTTTAGTTCAAAAGAGGCATTTTGTTCTCTTCAAGGAATCGAGTGTTGCCGATTGTAATAAATAAAATAAGTTTTCTTGGTTATAAGAAGCAGATATATTTCAAGCGAACTTAAAGAGTCTGGATCGATTGCATGCAAAAATGTTTGAATCCACCGGAGAAAGAACTCTGCAAAATGATTCTGAAAATGACACAGATTGTAAGAGTCGTTCCTTCAGGGGCTGAGAAAAAATTCAACAGACCTAAAAATAAATACACGGGACGATCTTTTGACAAATTTGCTCCTTTTTTAATAATTTGATCATTTAGTGATAAAATTTAGTGACATATGCGTGTGCAGTAGTTTACCAATTCTACATTATCGAGCGGTGTCGCTAAAAAACCTCTATATACACGTTATTAAATGAAACCTTCCAGCCAGTATGCAATTTGGTGTTAAGAATCAATACCTGTTTGTGTAACTCGACATGTATCCGTTCGGAACATACAACTTCGGGGCAATTCAAAAAGACGATATTTATAAAAATTTTCTCCGGTTGATTCAAAATAAATGCGTGAAATACAAGTTTTTGGGAAGGAAAATACGTCACAGCTTTGGATGCGCAAAGCATTTTTGGTTGCCTGTCCCAAGCATGCGAAAATATCGTTGACCGTGGTACTTGATATTGAACTATATCCAACATGTGCTCGTGGAAAACAACGTTTAATATGCATTTGGCCGTTCAAGCGCCCTGTAACGCTGTGGGAATGAATAAACTTGGACACAAGTGACATATGGAGGTACAGATGACCTCTCCCATTTGCAAAGTCGGAAAATAATCATTTTCGGCTTTTTTGTCCACTCCAGCAATAATCCCTTCTAATTACTTCCTGGTTGCAGCCTCGATCCTTTCACTCACCGGCTATTTCAACTACGAGGCAGGCATTGCCGACCCAGACAGGTTCTTTGAAGTGCCTGAATACTGCCCTACGGTAAGACTATAGACGTTTGAACTTAGCGAGGCTTATACACGAAACGTACAGCGTTTTGGCGATGAAAAACTTGTTTGGTTGTGAGAGAATGGTGAGACTTTCTCTCCTATTCCCACGAAAAAGACGACAACTTTTACGAAATCGGCTGCGCTAGATTTAAGCTATTTAAGAAGACCTCAAGGCATAGGCTAACTGGAGTCAGTGGCGTATCCAGCTTTTAGCGTGGCGGGGGGGGGAATCCAAAAGCGAACGCGTCTTCGGGGTTATTCAACATGGTGATGTGGAGAGAAAAATGAATGAAAAGCCTTACGGTCCTGACATCCTTGCTTTTATTTGCTGGTGTTTTTTTCTTCGAGATTTAGTGCAAATATGTGATAAATTAACATACCTAATACTTTCTTCCCGAGTCACCCGTTCTTTATAAAAAAAATTAATGCAAATATTTTTGGGGGAGGGGGGAGCAAGTTTCCACCGCCCCCCGCTGAATACGGCACTGACTGGAAAGCAGTATGGCTATATACACAGTTTGTTGCCTACCTAAGGCGTCTGAAAATGAGGATGTTAATGAATCAGGTGGTTTCCGATTTGATGTTTAGTTCGCTTACTTTCCCGTGTAAGTTTTATGGTGCCATTGAAGTAGGGCCTAAATCTTCTCTTGTTTTTGGATTCTTAGTACATCGAGAAAGAACCCAAACTGCTGGAGCTGTTGAAGTACAGTCAAGTTCTGTTTTAAGAACATCGGCAGTTCCGTCCAGATGACTTCCTGAACCTGACCGCTGACAAATTTGATGTGTAAAATCTTAAAGCGAATACAGACCGCATAGGTTCCTGCATTTTGTTCACTATACCATATTAAAGCTTGCGTATATTTTTCTTCACGTGACATGGCCTTTCAACGAAATGTTTCCACTTGACAATTACTCTGTGGATTATTATGGTGGATTAATATAGTGCACACCCTTGATATTAAGAGGGGGTAACTTGCGCCAAGAAGGAATAACCATGTCCCTCTCGATCAAAACAAATTGTTGTAAATGATGAAATGCCCTCGTCAGACTTTAAAGGCCCGCATTTGGAAGCGGTTCCGGTAATTACTTCGTAGGGGATACATTTATGTGCATTAAATGAAATTATTTCTCTCAAGGCTTCAAAACCTTCATATTTCTGAAAATGATGAAATGATGGACTTTCGCATTTATACAGAGGGTGTTTACTGGCTCTTCGAAATAATACCAGACGGTTTCCGAGATCAGTAAAATTATGGCGTGCAACATTTATCCCGAAATAGATATAAGTCTATCTCTATTTTACGATTCAATGTAAACTTTGCTCGACTAGAAAAGAAGATATCTCTATTTCGGGATTAAATGTTAAGTTTGCACGCCACATAAAGGTAATCAAGCTAGTCTCATGAACAAAATACTCAGATCTGGTTGGAATTCACCCCTTTAGGCCTATCTGTTTAATGATTACTAGGCCCCGTTAGACAGAACTGAAACTCTTTTGTGGGCGATTGCAATGTACACCAAGTGGAAGGAATTGCGACATTTTATGAGGGACCGTCTCTACGTGTGAAGGTTATGCATGTAGACAATGCGTGGCTTTTTGTATTTAGATCTCTCAGTGCTTTCATTTTGAAACATCGTTATTGAGTTTGAATTCCTAGTGGTGCTAGGTATCACATAGCTCAGTGGCAGATCCCGGGAATTAACAAAAATTATTAAAACAGAGGGACAGAGGGGGAAGTGTCCCTGTATGTTCCACTGTCCTCCTTTCTTGGCTTTTAAATTTTCAGTAACCATAAATACAAACTTGCATTGCATGATAGGATGTTCTAGGATGCACATTTTTTAAAGGGGATGCCGAAAGCCGACGAACTACCATTTTCACACACTATGTTGTGTGCATTTCAAAATTTCAAATGAGTTAACGGGGTCGGGAACCTCCCTGGTTACGCCACTGCGCCCGGTGATACAGCTGAACATAGCTAGTGCATGCAGTACCGCATACAAGTACACATTGCTGTATACTGTGGAAAGAGATATTTAACTGCCTTTTGACAACCTCTCAAGTAATGTAACCGTGGACTGTTAGTTTAGGAAAGTTAATGATTGAAGTGAAAGAACTCAAATGTATTTTATACATTGCAAGTCACTATGACATTTTTTTCTTAAAAGCAGATCATGACAATTTCACTTGTTTGCGAAAATAAATTCATCATATTATATTGTTTTGTTTTGTTTTCTTACTAAATGCTAGAGTAGTCTAATAATTAACACAAACTGTATATATTACTCAGCACTGTGCTTTTTCGCTGCAGGTGCATACGAAGCTGTGATTGATTAAATTACACTCATTGCAAAGCAATCCTTGTCTCGCTTGAGTCAGTAGAAAGAAAAAGAGTGATTCTGCATCTGAAACAATGCTTTAGTCATTAATCTTCAAGCTGATTATACTTTAATTTTGGATCCGTTTTATCAGTCAGTCAGTCTTGATACAGTGGATGGAGTGAACAATGGTAGGTGAACGGTCATCAAATCAGTGATGAAGAAATGGTTCATTATACAAAAAGGGAACGACAAATGATTCTAGTACCTGCAAGAGCCGGTCCAGTCATGTCTTTTTTGTTCAAATGGATTCCAGTTCAAGTCTTTGTGATCAATGTGACATTGTCTTGTCTATCGAACAGTCGACAGTGAATGGTATCTGGTATGTGCAAATGTTTAAGAACATCTAACCAACTGGAATCAGGAATACTACATCAAGCTTCCTTCCTCTTATGTGTCATAATTGTGTGCCATAAACCCACTACCTCTGTCTTGCCAGGATGAATTGCCTAGTGCAAGGATTTCCTGCGGTGTAAGATAACTTGCAGCCCGAGATCCACCTTGATTAAACTTTGGAGTGTTTGCCCTTGCTTTCATTTGAACTCTCAACTGAAGTTATATCTGTTTCCGATTAATGTGGGGGGGCTTTGCCTACCCCAAAAGTGCCTTTTAGGATATACAAGATTTCATGAGCTATTGGAGTTGGCCGGCATCGGCGCCCTGACTTATAAGCTGATTGGAAGTTCAGTTTCCCAACCATGATCGGCGCACGGTCTGCTGCTGAAGCTCCGTGGGTAAAATGGTCCGAAAACAAGGAAATGCATTCATATCCTCAAATATGTTCTCTAGTGTCTTTACTAGAAAAATAAGAGAATGAAAGGGAAACCACTTGAGCACAAGCTGGAAAAAAAAGTTGGTTTCAAAGCCGGACGTGGGTGCAACTAGTATACCAAACAATTAATCAGAAAATGAATGCATCGACGCCGATCGACTGCATTCCACTGCGGCGTAGCCCCCTAGTAGGCCCTAAACAAACAAAAAAAACCAAAAAAAAAACATGCATGGTATTCAATCAGCGGTCCATTGGCTGTCCTGCACGGAGCGGTTTTTTGTCACCAATGCATTGTTGGTGTATTATGGCGCCCTCGTCTCACCCCACCCACCCCACTTCCACCCCTTCCCAACAAGCAGGAATTTTAACTGATTTGGTTTTTTTGGGGGGGGGTATTGGATACAACATCATTAACACATCTTGCCTGCTAAGAAGCCATCATGACTGGTGAAAATGACCATGTGCAATGGGACAGTAAACCAGTCTAGCGAAGGTCACGAGATCAATCATTCAACTCACGTGACAGGGTAAGCACGGTGCGGTGGCCCCCATATATATACATGTACGGTGCTGGATTACAGTATTTTGTAAGCTGTTTATAGCTAGGAAGTGCTACACAGAAAACATGGAGGTAAAGTCGGTTTTTCTTTTGCTGCTGGTTGTCGTGGCAACTAGTCTGGCTCAAAAGAAGTGCTGTTTCCCGAAGGAATTTGAGGCATTAGATGGTGAGTTCCACCGCACCATGGTACCATCTGACCATGAAGACTTGTGTCAGTGTACATAATCATGGTCATGATGACATAGGCCTACCCGTTCATGCCGTTGACTAGCCCCACTACTACTAGTGTGGCACGGACTCTCACTCCAGATCCATCCTTAGCCACACATCCGTATACGCAATTTCGTGTCGGCGTACTGAAAATTTTCGGCGCACCCACTTATCGTCAGTGATCGTGGGCGCAATTTCTTTTGCACACCAACATGACCGCTAGATCCTTGACCTTTCCGCTTTCTAAAAGCCATTTATTGAATGATTTCACTCATTTTATTCAGGTATTTTCCAGTCTTTATCCATTGAATTTACTAGGCTCTCTCTTTAAAATAAGGTTGTTGAAAATTACATCACTTGACCCCTAATCTTCTCGACGACTGTTCCATGTTGCGCCCACAATGATAAGTGGATGCGCCGAAAATTTTCAGTATACCGACACGAAATTGCGCATACGGGAGTGTGGCTAAGGATAGATCGGGAGTGAGAGTCCGTGCCACACTAGTGGGGCTAGCCGTTGACATGACACTGTATGTTGCATTGCAGTAGTTCTAGTAGTAGTAGTAAGAATTCACCTGCCGCGGGCCAGTGGCCATGGTGGCACCACATGTGTTAGCCCTTCGCACGGTATAGTCCGAGTAACTTGGACCCTACAAACTGCCTTTTGAATTATTTGGACATTGTCAGGCGGTCCAAGTACCCCCATAGTTGAGTGGAGCTTTAGTATTCCGCTTTTTCGATTTTTGGATGGGATTGTCATACTATGGCAAACTGTTGGGGCTTCAGTGATATTTCTGACTTCAAAATCAGGCCCTTGGTCACTGCACATGCGTTGCATGGACAGAGTTAAGAAGTCTTTTTTGATGTTACCCTATTTGTCCATACAGTTCACCATACATGCAGCGAGCAGGGCCTGCATTTTGCACCATGAAACAGTCGTTGGTAGTGCCCATAAAGGTCACAATCAACAAGTCTTGGGTCCACACCACGTAAAGCCCACTCATGCATACGTCTTGGAGGACAATGTTCGTGCACAAACTTATTGCGCCAGAAACTCTACAGCGCATATTCGCATGGGAGGAGGCGACGAAAAGTTCAAGCGCTGTGCATGTGTCGAGCGAAAATGGTCGGATTTTGACAGATTTTGAAGTAAAAAATACCATTGAAGCCCCAATCGTTTTGATGTTGGCATTTATGGAAGCCAGTGGGTGGTGATAGAGGTATTTTTGGTGAGTCTTTTGAGAACCGTTGTCACTTTACTCTATGTACAGGCGTGGAGTGTTAGTAAAGACGATCCCGTCCAAAATCATACAAAGAGGAATACTAACGCTCCACTCAGTAGAGCTACTTCCATAGGCTTTTGCTTCCATTAATTCATGACACACAAAATAGCTTGTACCCGCAAAAATCCTTTTCACAGAAATGTTCCCAGATAGCAAATTTTGGATTCATAATTTGAACATGAAAACATGCAACCTGAGCCATGTCTACCTGGATTTACATCAAAGCAAAAGTATTCTCACTTGTACAGAAATGCATGGTCAATTTTTAATGTTAGAAAAAGTGCACCGTTCAGTTCATGTAACTCAAAAAAGATGTCAAACAGTTTTCAAACATGGAAGAAGAGTAAAATTCTAACAAAATTCATTTCCTGGTTCCTTTAAATTCTTTTGACCTGTGTTGGTAACAATTCATAATGTGCAAGTCCAAGTCAAGTCACAAGTCTTTTTTTCAAGTCCAAGTCAAGTTTAAGTCCAAACTGATGTTACACATTAAGTCACAAATCACAAAAATAGCGACTTAAGTCCAACTGTAGTCCAAGGCAAGTAACATGAATTTACAACTATGACATACAGGGCTAACACTGTAAATGGCTCCTTTTTAAAATCTGTCTTATTTCTGTCGCCATATTGACGAGTGTTTCAAGTCTTTGTTCGAGAAAAGTAGTATTGATTGCATACTATCAACCGAAAGTTGAACATATGTAATTTTTGATTACATGTACTTCAAGAACTTCAAAAAAGCTCAATTAATTTAAGGCAGTGGTATGTTTTGCGTGTACGTTTTGCTTTGAATTACTGTCAGGGCAACTCAACATGGGCAGTGAGTGATTTGGGGACTTTACTGCAGCTAATCTCTGTCTGATTTCATACCCAGGCTGCATCGTGTTGTGAATTTGTGTAATTTACAAGGTGGAATTCAGCCCCATATACTGTACCGCTACTCCACCATGTTTAAAACTATGTGTACCGTTAGTGACAGCTTTTAAAGCTCAACAAGTCATGTTTTCCTTCTTGTCCATAACGTGAGTCCCACTATGATTTAAGAAATGCAACCGATGAGGAACACACTCAACACAGACACTAACATATTCAGTACTAACCTCAGCTAGACCCCCCCAAAAGAAAATTCCAATATTCTGTCTGGAACATTTGAAGTTTGCCTGTAAACACAGTTTCTTGTGCAGAAATACCAATGTTGTGATTCCATGTTATCAGACTCTGGTTTGAATTGATTGGTGTTGGGCCACTTTCACTCTACAGGACAGGTGGTTGGGACAATATCAGCTGGTAAGCCTGTGGCTGTTCTGGAATCCATCCAGTTTGCCTTTGACTACTTCAACCAACGAGCTGGGGAATTTGCCTTCATCCAGGATGGAGCTGAAGTCTACATGTACCAGATAATTGTAGACTACAAAGCGGTAAAGTTTCCAGCGTAAATTTACTTCAGAAAATACCTCGGCTTTCAGAGAATGAGAAAGTTTGAAATCTCAATATACATGTACATGTACCAAGCCTCCTTTTTAATAACTCCATAGTTTACTCAACCGAAAATTCAGTTTCGAACCTTGAACAAAAAGATGTCATGTAAGTTTGGAAAGAACCCAAAATGGCAAACTAAAAAGAACATGAACTGTTAATACATGTAAAGTTATTCAGTCAAAAATTCAAAATACATGCAGCAATACATGTTGATACAAATTGCAATCTGCCTTGAGCAGAAAGCACCTGTCATCGGGTGGAAGGAGCCATAATGGTGGTATTGCACAGTTCGTTGGTAGCAAAGCGACAGAAACACATGCATGCAGTCGTTTGTGAACCAGCAAAGTGCAGTTCCTACCAAAGGAGCCTTTGTTGCAAGGAAAATTGCACCCTCTGTTGGTTCCACTCAGGGTGGAAAAATCTTGGAAACTATTCAAACTTTTACCCAAAAGATTAGCCCGGGGAACAAATTTAAATATGAAAGGTTGTCCATAGACCAGTTACCTCACATCTTGATGAAATATGAGAAATGAAGAAGAGAAGAGAAAAAATACTAGAAGCACAACGTCAAACTAACGGAAGACACCGGATTAAGGTGATGTTCTAAACGAGACAAGAAACAAAAATGAGCAAACAAACACCTGTCAAAATTAAACCTGCCCGATGGTGTGATGTGTTTCTTCTTTGTTTAGTAGATAACTTTCTAGCAAGGTTCTCCCTTGTGCTTGGGAATTATTTCTGACTTTGTGATCGTCTCTCAGCAAACAGAATACATCATCCAGGCACACACACAGACTTGCCAAAAAATCCCCCTTCCAGCAGGAACCAACATGTCTCACTGTGTACCAGGTGAGTTCTGGATGATTGATCGTTGACCTTGATGGACATTCTTGTCATTTCAGCTGATTTTGTTTTATTTCTGCCAGTAACTGTAGAAAGTCCTGTGGAACATACATGTATTGAAGTTTGGAGTTTGAGAGTTTATTTCCATATGTCAGTACTAATTACACTGGTAATGAAGCAAAATAAAATGCAGATGGTGACAAATGGGGGGCCTAAGCTTACGTGTATACAAAGCCTTACTGCCCTGTTTCTTGATATAAATCCTGACATTTAACCCTCCGGTATCCTTCCAAAAGATTTTTCAGCATGAGGAAGGACGAGAGTATTTACCGTTACTCAGTGCATGGGTTTATTGCCTTTTGACGGTTGAATGTATGTGCTATTGGTTTCCTTATGATGGGATATTTTAGTAGATTCAGAGAAGCTTTTAGCTAAGTGCTCATTAGGATTAATTTGCTGAATTTCTTAACTAGTGTCCGTCGGGGCATAGATGGCACTAAGGAATAGCAGAGGGCTCAAACTTGCATTTGATAACATAGCAATTAATTTTTGTGAGTACATGTATTACTTTGTAGTTCACCATTTGATTGTTTTTTTCATTGATCCTGGCCAAAACTACCCAGTTTGTTTGGGCATGGAGCTATTAAATACAGGGTCTGTGAAACATTTAAAGAAACAAAGGGACAGACTCAGACTCAATTACTTTTGATTTCAGGTTGAAAACATGTACAAGTAGGTTCAGATTATTACATCCATTATATTCTTTGGTTTATTCAGTTCACTTTAATAGGATGATAGCTTTGAATGTGAAATGACCGGCGGACTTCCTAGTGTGAGTTTGTAGGTTAATGTTTTTGCCATCTTCTGTAGATGATGCCACTTACGAGAGCTCCTTCTATGTTGGTGATAACAAGATGACAGCAGACTCATTCACATACTCTTTGAAGCAAGGGGTGGTGGCAGGCAATGTGATTCTATCCGTCTCTAAGGGTGACTGCATCCCCTACAGTGTGACTTTCTTCGGTCAACATCAAGGAAGTAAGTGGAGGATTTATTGAAGGAATTGACTCAAACTACACTGAAGTTAGGTGTGGCAGATGTGGATCAAGTATGTCTAAAACCCATTTACAAAGCCACAGTGCTTAAAGCAGTTTCTAGAGATAATGTATTTACCTCACTCCTTTTGCTTATTGCATGTAATTTGTCCATATTCAGTTTTTTATCAGGTGAAATTTGTCTCTGTCCAGGATGAGACAACTAAGTATCTTACGACGGAGACTCTTTCCCTTCCTTCTAAGCTCCTGTCTATTCTCTCATTGTGTAGCCTTTGCCTCCGCTGGTCCTGTCTGGGCCTTCTGAGGGTAGGCTTCAATAAACAAGTCTGGCATCCAATGTTAAACTCAACAATTCAATTACTGCTATTTGAAGGAGAGAACTAAACTTGATTAAGTTCAAGCCCAACTTCCATTTTGATTCTGGGCTCTGGGAGTATTCTTATGCCTTTTAAAGGAATAAAACAATATTTCAAGAAGTTTGGAGTGAGGAGAGTTTGCTTCTTACCTGTAGCCTATGTCTGACATGTAAGTTGAATTTCTAGTATAGCTGATTATAATTTCAGTGTACAATATCTTGGGAAAAAGTATTACAAAAGAATGAAATATGACGCGAGCAAAAGATAAATGAGATTTCGAGGAATACAGAACCCAAGGACTTTTTCTCTTTGTGCTTAATAAGACTTCAGGAAATAACATGTTTCCTCAAACTGTAATTCTTTAAACTAATAAATGATAACAAAATATCTGATCTTGTAGTGTATATACCCTTGACTCTTATTTCCTTTTTTGTTTTGTCTTTCTAGCACCAGTTCTCCAGGTCACTGGCTTTGTTAACTACACGTCTGGAATCCAAGACCCAGCCAGATATTTTACTGTGCCAGAGTACTGCATGGAGGTAAGACTTCCAACTGTCATTCACTCAAATTTCAACATTTCCAACAAATTTTCAAGACTCAGTTGTGTATTTGTATATTTCTTCTCATCCTTGATTGCAAGATCAGGCCAGGTTGGGATTTCAAACAATGAGTCACAGTGGTCTTTGTATTTACTGCAGAAAATTAGAATTATATGAAAATGAAGGCCAAATTGATTATTGGCCATCTGATGACCACCAGTCAAGTGGAGATGGTAGCTTGTACATCAAATCTATCCTAGATACCAAGTAAAATTGAATCAATGGTTGGAAGATGGTTACCGATCAAATTTGACCAAGTTGAGGGAAGAACTATCAGTCAGAAATACGTGTACATCAGTGAAAATGCATCATTTTTAAGGGCAAATAGAGTTAAATTGTTGAGAGGTGAAATACATGCAAGTTTCTTTCGTTTGTTTACAATGACATTACCCAGAGAATTTGCTGTTTTCTCATCTGGTTTTGAAATTTGAGATGAAGTAGATCAACTGCATTCAGTGGACCTGTTGTTTAAATCTTATTTCTCTTTTCTGTTGTTTCTTGTTTGTTACAGCAATCATTCAGTCAGGCACCGAAGATGTACAACTCTTTCATCCACCTGTTTGTGTAAGCACTGGGCGGCCTTCTCCCGAACGTGCGAGATTTTAAACCAAGAATTATACATGTAGATGACTAATTTTTGGTTTACAAAACTAAACAGTCCGTTTGATACTTGTGTTTGTATATTTTGCATTTATGTCTGTGATGAGATTTGATATAATGTAGAATGATTAACTTAATGGCAGTGGAATTGTCTTTAAGTGCATGTATTTTGGTTCGTTTTATACATTGTATACTGCAAACTAGTGATTAAAAGTTCTGATCGGGACCATAGGCTTACTTTTTGAATGACAGTGTAAGTAGGAGGCATGAAGGAGGCATGTCTTCACCCGCTTTGAAGATGGTCAGTTTTCTCCTGGACGAGCAAAGCATTTGCCCTGACTTTATGGTTTGGTTTCAAATCCGATTTGCATTCCCCTTTCATAAATTCTTGATGTGCCACAGAACAATGAGGTTTTCGTTTTTCATTTCTTTTTAAGAACTTGCTCGGAATTTAATGTATTATCGCGGCTTATAAATGATTTTTGCTGGGAAACATGATATTGAGGTTTATCAATTGATGCTTTTCTGCTCTAGAAGTCTAAGACAGCCGATCACACCTATTGGCGAGATCTGACAGGCTTGACTGATTCCTCTCTCTTGAAACCTTCAAATCAGTCATTATTGGAAACGTCATTGGACATTCTTTCATCCTATTTTTTTTGCGTTTGGGACAAATATGTACAATGCCACTGAACCAGGAACGGTTCCAACCTTTATGGATTCGAAGTCTTCGCGACGAGGGGGTCGTTTGAACCCCAACCCTTCTCCATGAACATGCCATCATTTATTAAAAGGTACCAAAGTTGTGATCTTACAATATTCACGTACTTTTATGGAAGATGGCGTACGCTTTTAAAGATGTGCTGTAACTTTTAGTTAAACGAAAAAATGGAAACTTCCTGTAGGGTTTATGTCCTTAAAATGTTTCATTTACTGAATTTAGCCTTAAATGATAAAGTACCCATTTGTCCCAAGTTTCTTGGTGGCCCCTTTTTCCCTTCATGAGATAAAGTCATTACTTTCTTTGTTACACGCTTTGTTGATGTGGCTGTTTGACTGTGTTGGGTATTTTCCTTTGGTCCAGGCTTTCGCCCTCATGATTTTTCCATTCCTACAATCTTAGCTGTCCCTTGATTAGTCCCTGTGAAGTTTGGCGTACTTGCAAAGACATCAATACATGTGTTTCATTTAACCCCATTAAATTGGTACCAATAGCTATTTACAGCAAGCAAAATATTCATAAAGGCTCGGCGCAGAGAGAAAGTCCGCAAATAGGTACGGGTAAAGGGATCCCGCGTCCGGCTTTAAAGATCAGATTCGGCCTTTAGAGATAAGCTTAAGCACTGAAAGATTAAATTTTAGTTAGCCCCATGCACGTTAACCCATGCATCACGAAATCAATGTATTCTTTAAGTATTGAAGTATATTTTTAAAAATCATTTCCACTTGCATACTGGAATGCATTTATTATCACAATAAAAATAGCAATTTAAATCTATTCTAAATTCATTCGTGGAAATCCACGACAACCTGTGATAAATTGTCACTGTAAAGGTCATTTCTAAGCACCCCCGCATGAATCCAACGAATTGATCATCCGCAAAAAAGGAACTTTTTAGTTAGTTCTACTTGATGGAATTTGACGAGACGGCAGAGACTATGGTAGCTTTAAAACCGGGTGAAGTTGTCAATGGTAGGCCTACAGCTACTCAAAATGTGCCGGACGAAAAAACAACTCATCATTGATGTGCTAGTACAAGATTGAGCTAGGAGTATGGCAAGGACCACATGTTCATTGTCCATTCCAAGGTTGGCCATTTTATGAATTGGCTATCTGTTACGGGAGTACACCGACAGTAGGGATCAAAAACAACTTTGGAATGCCATCAAAAAGGTATCGGTAAGTTTCCTAATTTGTACAACAGAACAACTTCTGTACGCAGAGGTCAATGCAGAAACAGTTGTTCAGGTTGGATTTCAATAGTAACAGTGCATTCAGTGAATGATTACATGAATTTTATCAGCAAAACAAACAAGAAAGAGGCAAAAAATGAGTTGCAATTTTTACATTAAGATATAGAAAATTTGAATTTTAAGAGTACAAATAAAGAAAACTGAGTTATAGAAACAAAAACCCAAAAGTATTTTCAAATGTACAAACGTACAACCACCACCTAATATTAATTTAAAAGTAATCGCAACAGAAAAAAGGAATCAAAAATCTAAAGAGATTATTACAAAAAATGTAACAATTAAAAAAATTGAACCCATTCACCCAGGAAACTGAATTAATTGTGGAAACCTAAAGCTGATTTTAATATGGCCTATTCATTCAAAATATCTCCTGTGAACATCTGTCCAACAAAACATCTCAAATTTAAATTCAGTAAGTGAATCACTGTCTTCTTAAGGGAACTTAAAGCTGCGTTCTGTGAATTGTGGCTGTTGAATGATTAAAAAAATATAGGACTAGGGTACACAAAATATTAAAACTCATTTCAAATACTTGTGCAATCAGTAATGCACTTTCTACAACCATTATGTCACTACAGTTATAAAGTCAAAACTTTACAAATTCAAGGGAAACATTTGACAAATAAATTTTGATTTGGGATTTCGTTTTTCTTGAATTTATCACACAAGGAAGACCAAACATACGGCTTTGTTCATGAAATGCTCAAAGCATTTCTGTCTTTTCGTTAGACTGTGGTATAGAAATCATTTTTTTATTCTTTAAATATCGCTATGCAGTACAAATAGTCAAATAATTGTAAATGTGTGTACCAAATAGAGTACCGAATTGAATACGTCACGCGTACAATTAGTGTGTAAAATGCATTAGCGCGAGAACCAGCGCGTGAACCACCAACACGCGCGCGTACTCCATTCGTTTGCACTGCACTTTCTGGTTCACAGTGACATCACACTTCGGTACTCTATTGTGGAAGTTAGAACCATCAAAAGATAGTAGCGCTAATCTACCGATAAATGACCATTTGATTACTGTTGCTGTCGAATATGTCGACTACGGTCGATATGAAAGTCTAATCTCCCGGAGAGGGAACATCTGAACAACTTTAGAAGAACATCTTGTAGGAGGGTAGTTTTTGAAACACTGGCACCTCCAAGAATGACTGTAAATTAAATTAACGAAAAAACAAATGAAAGATTTATTGAATGTATTGGAAATTAAAATCAAAATATCTAATGAAATAAAATATAGATCAAAAGAAAAATGCATTTCGATCCCCAAATTCTGGTTCCTGAATGTGGTTTGAATCATTAGCGATAACAGACAATAAGATGAACGAACATTTTTCGAGTCACAAAGGTGTGTTGCATTGGGCCACATCATGTTCACGCCCTCTGGTTCTGGTTCTTTCAAAATGTAATTTGCGATACCTTTGGGCAATAGTCAGGCACGGTGAAAAACTTGGATGGGTCCTTGATGCCAGCAGTGTAGTTGAAAAAGCCAGTAACAGCAAGGAAAGACCCTGCATTGGAAGACAAAAAGAATTGCTACTAGGCGAGACAATGGTAATTATGGAGTGTATATGCCGGAACATGGCGGAAGCAAAGCCAGAAGTGTAATGTTGGTTTGTGAGTCATGTGTAGGGCCTCACTCATCTTAATTTCTTCTCAGTCTTTATAAAAACGATGCAGTTAATGCATGGTTTTTTATATAGTGATGTCAGCACTCCAAAGTACCGCCCTTTTGCGTCTACCAAGCTCAAGCATTTCGATTTACCTACTGGACTGTCGTTTTATTGAGATCTATACCTTTGGCTCATGTTCTTTATTGATCCTGTCTGAAAGAATTGTTTGAACTTGCCGTAAGGGGACGTTGCTAAAACTGTGTAGCTGTTGGGAATGCATTCACCGTGGGTGACACTGAGTGACACTATTCCTTCGTCCACAGGCAGGTTATACACATCGACCGTCAATTTGTGATTACCAAGGTATATACTCCCAACTGAGGTAGCGTTGTCTGCATGGAAAAACAGAGGAAAATACTGGATGATGTAATGAATGATGTCACTATGGCTAAACGTTGGTACCAGTATCTTAATTGATAATGTAAAGAAAGCAGGTGTTGATCGATACTTCTTCAAATAATTACCAGATAGAAGAGGACAAACAGTTTGATGAATGCAATTAAAGACAATTAGCCACCTTACTTCGCATTAACATAACGGGCAGTCACTCCATTATACTTACAAACAGATCTTAATTTATAGCCTAGTCTGTTGCACGTCCCAAGTTAGCTGGTTTAAATTTGGACTCGCTTGAAGTGGCATAAGCCAAAGACTGCCTAACTCCTGCGACCACCACACTGTTAAAAACTTGGTCAATATTTAGCCAAAGAAGGTCGAGTTTTCAACCTCCTGCTATATAGAATTAAAAGTTGACCCCTAATGGTTCGCTTCTGAACGCTTAGATATAGGAAAAGTAACGTGCTAAAATTTTAGAAATTGCAATATTTTTTCGTTCAGTTACTTGTTCAAAAATCCAACTCGAAGAAAGGCCATTAGGAAATATTTGCTCGTACATGTATATTAACTTTCAGAAACTGAAAAATTACCCGACCTAAAAGAGAAATATCCTGCCAAAAATCGACCCATCACTTAAGAAAATCTAAAATACACAAAGAAGAGTGTAATGCGGTGGTCTCGTACAAAGATGAACATTTAGGGAAATTTAAGAAAGATTCTAATATTTTATCTAACCTTTGCTGACAGGAACCGTGTCCACGGAATCTGGCAGCCATCGACTGCCGGTAGATAAATCTTTGCAATGTTAAGGCGATGTTGTTTTCATGTGAGCATAAACGTAATGGGAGGCCTAGGAACGATACTGCCGGAAGTGAAAGGTCGTGAATGAAATTCGTTTTTTACCCTTCTCCAGGTGAGTTTTTCTAACTATTACTTGAGGAAGACAAAGGTCAAATTCTACCATGAGCGTTTCATGGAGTGGTTTCAGTTCAGTTAGGAATCATTCTTTTTAAAAACTATCGAACGCGACAGGACGGCCCCGTGAACAATATTCATAGGCTGACCGTGCGAGTGTTCCGGAAGCTCGCTGTGTGACCTTTCACTTTCAGGCTTTGTGGTATTGCCTAAATTTGTCACAGTGCACATGCTCCGGACATCACGTGATACCTGGGACGCAGTGGGGCATTGGTCCAGCTAATGGCACTTTAATGCATTCTCTGGCCTTTGGTTGGATGAAATATTGAACACCCTGTTAAAGAAGAAATGACAAAATATGTTAAAATGTATAGTTTGTCTTGTACATTCAATGGAGCGGAGGTTTGTAGTCGTATTTGGAACAGAAAGTGTCAGCCCTAGTGATTCTTGGCAGAGGGAAAATGTCATTGTTTGGGAACACTTACATGTCCATCGATAACATGCATTGGTATATGTCAATAAGATGTTCTTACCTTACTGTAGTCTGCAATTCCTTGTAGTTCCTCGCTTTTCTGATCCGTTGTCATTATACCCAACTCAGCCACTCGCTTGTTGGTGTAATCAAAGGCAACTTGAATTTTTCCAACGGTGGCTGAACCCTTTCCAGATTGGCTTAGACCAATCTCAATACCTGGAGATATCAATAAGAGTCAGTGAACGGGACTTGAAGGAAAACATGATTGGGTTCACTGGGCCCTGAAATCGAGGATTCATACTCTCCTTTTTGATATTATTACTAGAAGAAAGAATTGCAAGACCGGATCGGGGAGGTCGAACCCCAGCTCTGAGCAATAAATAAATCAAGAAATAAAATAAAAAATGGGGAAATTAATAACAAATAGCTAAAGTAAGTGCACTTATATCATTGTAAACAATGTATGTTATGTACAATATTTCATCATCGTTTCCGCTTGTCCGCAAAAATGAGACATTAAAAAATCTCTGGCTTGACGCTCCCCCGAATTGGATCCGCCCATTGTAATTCCATAAACGGAGTCACACCCTAAGTTTTCCCTACAATCACATATTAGCCATCTGAAGGGAATAACATTACCTAAAATGTCAAATCTACGGCAGGAAAAAAAATTGAGGTGATCACATGGAAAACAGACTTTTTCAGACCGTTCTCACAGGGTTTGTACATCAGGGTGTCAAGTGACGTGGAATTCTGTCATTACTAGGTATTAGATACTGTGATACTTGTAAATTATACATTGGCGTATCCAAGTCTTAGGTGGGGAGTTGAATTTGTTAAAGAAAATTCGACCGCCAATCCTTAACCTCCCGCAAAAAGCACCATTTCTTGAGGGGGGGGGGGCTTGCACCCTTCCCCATACACCACGGATGTTTGGAATCCCTTTACGCCGCATCGAGAAATCAGTTAAACAATCCAAAGCTGACAACAAGCATAATGGAAGAAAAACGACTGGGAGGAGAATTGGTGTAAGGGACTTAAGGTCAAGAAACGAAATAAATATTGAAACATTTTGGAAATTGCCATAGGATCGTTGTATGGGCTCCCAATTCAAATTTGTTTTCACTGCAATCGTAATACGAATCGAAATAAAAACGAGAAGTCATTATTACTATGATACTCTGGCACTAAAATGCCCAATACAAACAATGACCCTTTCTATATCGCACGACCAACCACAAACCTACGTGCAGACTCACCCTCTATCGATACAAATTGGTCGGGGTAACAACACTTCTTCTGAGCGTAGCTGATTGCCAGGAAAGCCTGGCACAGAAACACAACGGACAAGATGCTCATGTTGCTAGAAGTCTACTTCATCGACTACTCACTTGGTATCACTGCAAACTCAGATCGATTCAGACTAGTCAGATTTGAGGAAATGGCTGGTATTTATAAGCATGTTGCGGGAAAGTCACGTGAATTTCAAAAACGAAACAGTCTCATGTTCATGACGCTATTCAAGTGTTCACCTTTAGTAATACCAGCAAGCATGATTTGATTAAATAAATTGATACTTCCTTAAACTTGCCAGAGTTTTGTGGTCGTTATGGTTGAGCATGTCGAAGTGATCCCAGATTTTCGGGGGGGGGCCTGAAAGAAAGCATCAGTGGTACACTGGCCGCGAGCGCGTAGCGGGAAGCCCTTAAGGCGTAGGGTCTTTGGCATTTTGGTATGCTAGGCACTCTGTGGTGCAATTTCAGGCAGTATGACCCCTAATTGTTTCTTCCTCCCTCCCTCTTCATCTTCTTTTTATTTATTTATTCTTTGGGTAAAAAAGGGGGCGTGAGCCTCCGCACCCCCTGAATCCACCCCTACTGACTGAGTGAGAGTTGGCAGCCCTGCGGAATTTTCACAGCTGAGACGGCATGTGAACTATTAGAAGACTCCTTACATTCCCAAATTGAAACCATTTCGGCCTATGGACCTTACTGATTTCAGAGCAGACGTCACAAATATTGTTTACTTTCGTTTTCCACCTGTCACGAGCTCGTGACTATGCGGAAATCGATGATCGCATAAACAGACAGACAGATCTCTGGAGATAAGAAATGGATTTTTTCGGCATGTATCATTTTCGAGGAAGTTAAACTAAGTGACGAGTAATATTCCTGAAGTCAAGTCCTTTTTAATCAATAACTCTCATAACAAGCGTCTCCTGCAGAAACCAACGATGGACAGTATCACCGCTCGTTATGTCCTCAGTAAGATGAAACATTTATCCTACTTTAGCATCTCTTCTGTTGGGTCACCAAAACCAAAACGAAGCTGAATCACATCTGTAACACGTCCTTCCGTTGGAAGCTTGAAAAAAATCCCCAGCAAAAAATAGCCAGCAGCTCACAGTGAATATTTGCGAACTCCTTTAAGCGGGGCAAATGGTCACTGGAATATCTTGGGGAAGGCATTGCATGGAGAACATGCCACCCCTCTCCTCAATGACGCCCAGGCAAACAGGTTTCTACATATTTTTACAAAAGCCCTGAATGACATGGTAGGACTAGACATCGGACTGGATTTGGTTCACAAATGATTTTGCCATTTCCACGTCACTTCAATTACATGCATTTAGGCCCCAACTATTATAGCATCTGCTCTGTCTTCGGGACGGTCAAAATGTATCGTGTGCCATACACTTTCTACGCATTCTAGCAGAATGTAGCTTTTTGATTGTGTCTTATGTGAAAAGCCAGAATGGCATTTTAAAGCATTCCATCCACCTGTAAGTGCCACACAAATTTCCACAGAAATATCCTGAGCAGTACAGTGGGGACATAATCATTTCAAGCGGCAGCCAAATTTGGATGCGACCTGAGCCTACGATATCCGAGTCAGTGCAGGCCCACAAACTCCAGGGACGAGCTCGGGTTAAGGTTCGTGATAAAAGCCTTCCTGAAATAGTCATTATTCACCCCGTTACTAGTGACTGGTATCATGAAATAAGTTCCAACTGGACTGAACTTTAACACTTTTTGGACAACGTAGCATTGTCTTCGTTTAGCATTAATTCTTACTATTCTGCTAATGAAAATTCAAGATTCAGGAGAATGGAAGGCATGGAAAAGTCCACACAACCCCCCCCCCCAAAAAACCCCAGAGTATCTGGCGTTATTTGGGGTTACTTACCATTACCGTGCTATCCCTGCAGGACAAAGCTGAAGAGAACACATTCTTCCTGGGAAACAGATATGGTAACGTTGCCTACCAAGTCTCCCTTGTGTTGGTAATACTTGAAAATATCCACGTTCAACTGATGGTTGCTATGGTAACTTGAGCCCAAATAGACAGCGCTGTCGATATAATAAAAAGATGCAGAGGAGATGTAACTAGAATAAAATAAACATCAGTTAGGGAGTCTGACTGGATATTCTCAACTGTCATGGATACGGTAAAAAGACATAACGTGTACCAGGGAAAGCGAATTGATATAAAATCTTCTATTACCATCAAATGACATGCAAAAACCATGTACAATTTAAACATGCATTCCTGACACTAACCCATCTAAGTTCTAATCTCTGCAATGTTCTTTGTTAGCCCCTGCAGTACGTCACTTGCCCCGCCCCTTTATTGTAGTGGAAAGCGTAATTTGCCTCTTCCTAGGAAAAGTGTATACTCAAGAATAAAACGACAAAAAATGATACATGCCCACTACTGCAAGGTTTGAAGTGAAATGATGCCAGAATTCTCACCAGGAATGCAGTCTGTCATGTTGTTCCCCGGTGGAAAGTGTTCCACTGAACAGGATGAAACTTGAGATCCGATAAAAAAAAAGTTGAATTCGATTTCCTGATGACTGGAAAGTCAAACTAAATAAATGAAAATATAAGAGATTGATAGCAGTCTGGAGAGGTTTAGAATATCTAAATGAAAATATTAGAGACGAAGGTGATTGGATTTCTACAGTCAAGCAGTCTTATTACTGGGCAGTAAAGAAACCAAAAGTAGTTATTGATACATAAAATGTACAGATCATTATGAAGATGGTTTTCCTTTTGCAGTTTTCGCTTTTGATCTGGACCAATTACTTGAGGCCTATAAAGACACAAAATACGAACCTACGAGTGAGTAGCATGTCTCTCTCGTATGTTCGGATCCTCCAAGCCCCCTTTTCTCCACCACCGGCGCCCCATCCATCATTCTTCTAAATGCCTGTATCTGCCGCTAAATGATATAACCGTAATTAAAAAGCGCACAATGTGCCTACATCTCAAATGGATTTATAGAAATATCCTTTCCTTCGTGGAGACAGGTTTTCCAGTTGACCTTGGATACATGCTAATATTTACAAGTGCGCAACTCAGAACTATAACGATGGCCGTCCCTTGTGTGATGGAAACTTTTTTTATATTAGAATATACGGCTTTGCGAGAAAGTAATGAAATACCAAATTTAAACACGAAATAAGCACACAAAAGCAAAAAGTCTATTTTTTGACATGCCCGTCCTTTCGTGAACACGTTAGCGAGATTGTGCTTAAAAAGATTTAAGAATAATAAAAATTTTCAATACCAGATAATAGTTATGTACCAGACATTGTCAAACTTGCCACAGTGTTTGTTGAGATATGTTAATTGCTTGTTTGAACTTTTCACAGCTCCTGTAATATGGCGCCCCCATCAGTTTAGGAAGCCATTATCTGATCATATTACATCCAATACTTTTTTTACCTAGTTGTAGTCAAATATGGTCTGGTATTTGGTTTGCTGTCCCATGTTTTCTTTGTAGGGGATTGCAGCCAAACTTCTGTTAATAAAGTCGAATGCGTATTGATGAACTGCATTTTGTGACTAATCCTTGGCCTATTACACTGTTCCAGTCAGTGTGCCTGAAAAAAAAAACAGTTTCTTCAACATCATATTTCTGACAGCATTCTGTCAGTCGTAGCAATCAAACAAAACCAATGTCACAATAATCTATTTTCACCACAGTTACTGTGTCACGGTACCTTCCATCAAAAACAAGGACGGGCGAGAGGAATAGGGGCCGCCCCCCAAAAAAAGATGGCATTTGGTAAATTTTATAAGGAAAATAATGAGAGAAAGTCAAAATTTCGTTCAACAATTCCATTTTAATTCCTTCCCAAAGTTTGTGAGACGGGTTTACCATTTCCTCTCAGAACATTTCTTTGGTCCATCCCCAGAAGCAAAGTTGGCCTCCGAAATATTGGTTCTGGAATGATCTTGAGCCTAATCAGAATGTCTGGATACTGACTCTGAGGTTCCCATTTTAATAATCGTTTCATCAGCAAAGTCGTAGATCTTTTCGGCAGAATCGTGTAACTAAGAACACTATGCAAAGCAGCGCATGGCGCCCACTGATGATGCATTGACATCCAATATGCCCCCATCCCCCGGTTAACATCTTTACCTGTTCTGACATTTTCCCAACAATAGACTGTCCTCCCCCATCCCTCTTAAAACACCTCAATTGACTGCGTCATTCATTAAAGTTGAATCCATTACAGACAAAAATCATTTCTTCCTCTTTACATTACAAGAAACATATCGTTTGGAACTGATCACGTCTTTTATCAAAGCAGATTTCATGAAGCTTTCTGTAATACTACTTACCCGCACTCAACTGGTTAGGAAAGCAACACTTTTTCTATGCATAGCTTGTTGCCACAGCAACCAGCAGCAGAAGCAAAACAAGACCTTGTTATCATACATTTCGTTTGTTTACCGTTAGCACAGTTAAGAAGAATAAGCAACCTTGAGAAGATTTGAAATTCAAGTCGACATCGAGCAAAGCCAACTGAAAAAGAAGGGAGGATAGTAACCGTTGAATATATCAGGCCATAGTGTGCGTGACTCTACAGGTGGTTTCTGGGTTAATGAGGCACTATATTACAGAGGTTGTGCCTCTTGTACTAAATTAATCAAGTGTTTGACTTTGATAACAGAGTTACAGTCCTGTGGTTCATATCTGAAGGAAGATTGATACACTCCCATAAAAAAGAAAGGTGAGCGGTGTGTTGAAAGGTAAGGTAAGTATCGATTCAATATTTATTCTATAGCAGATTCGATTATCAGTTGTCTGTATCGATTTGATATTTAGTGCCATTCCAGTTCAGCTGGAGAATTTTCCAGATAACCATTTGTTTGAATTTTACTGGATCGGAGAGGGGGTATTTGTAAAACGCCTCTTTACACAACATATCTGACTTTGCACGTGTGTGTGCATTAATTTGGTGTTCAGGCCTTGGTAAACAAGCAATAATCAAAATTCATTAAATGGAAAAGAAGGCTCCTTGAAAGGTGGAGTGTTCCATTTCATGTCACCCCATAAAATTATTCGTGTCGCTGTGCTTATGGACATTCTGTTATTTTTATATATTTATTGTAAACTACAAATTAAAAACACACTTCATTTTTAATCTAATATACCTCACAGATAAAGACCACGTTGAAATTAGTTCATCCTGAAAGTGCGGGTAATTAATTTCCACTATCCATCTTTCGTCAAGCTATCTATGCGGACGTTTATTTGACACGTAACGTTGGTGTCACAGAACTGGCACATGGAAGGGAATATATATCGCACCATGAAATTGAAAATTCACCCGTTAATGATGGATTCATAGCCTTTTATACGGGCATATCACACGTTTTGCTATACGACCTACACTTTTGGAATCTCTTGTTTTTGTTTAAAGTAAACATCGAAATAAAGAAATATTTATCATTACATTGAAATGTCAGTTTGACAAAAAAATGTCCAAATCAAAACGACTATAAAACAGTACAAGGAATTTACACCGACCTTGTATTGTATTTGTAATTTAATTTCATTGCATTGTGACTTCACGAACAGTGAAGTGGAGTATAGGCTTGTTAGGCTTGTTATAGAGTTTACTTGTTCGAGCGAGCCATTGTACATCGGCAGAAGGCTCTTTATTACATGAAAGGACCAAGTCGATTTACATTACATCTTCATTTGGAAACATTCTATAATTTTGATTTTTGATAGGATGTTTTCTTCAAATTACTAGGGTAGCAGTAAAGCTTCCCACGAATAGCCAACAGTTCACGAGGAGTGTTTGCGACCTCTCTCCCTCTCAAACCAGGTGAATGATTACGGGAATATCTTGGGGAAGGCATCGCTGGACAGCTTATGCTTGTCATCCGTGTGTGGCTGCAGGTAGAACAAGACATTAAGACAACACAATCAGACATCTACATCTACTGTATTATTCCGTTGTTGATGTCTATAATTCAATTTCGTGTCTATTTATAGTGTGAAATAAATGTGAATGAATGAAAATGAATGAATCAATAGAGGTTTTGCGTGGTAGCCATCTTGCAGGGCGCTTCTTTTGCTCCACAGGTAAACCTCTTTCGTGCATGCCCTGTAGAACAAACGCAATGGCCTGCAAAATGGCAGCCATGCAAATCCTCTATTGAGGAATGCTTGGCTTATCACTCCCTACAATGCACTTTAAATATGAATTTAAGTTATTAGTGTGCGACGACAAACGACCTTAAGAAGATGAAATGCAGTAGACTGCGTCTTCTCATCAGTTGAGTCTTTGTTGGAAGTTGTTTGGAAGTGTTTTTTTATTGGGGGGGCGGATGGGGTGGTTTTAGATTTGAACTGGAGCTAGTACTCTTGTGATTTGGTTCTTAAAGTAGACAGTAAAAATGAGGCATAGTTACTGTGTTTTCACCGTGACAAATAAGACAGTTTGATTCAGTGTTGTATATTGTATTGACAGTATTGTGTACTTCAGATTTGTAAATGACCGTCGACTTATATCAGAAGACTCAGGTCGGTGTAGAGGCTCTTTCCTCGCCTTCGTTTTCAGTCTCTGCCTGCTTTTCCTTGGAATATTTATCAAGGGTTTTCCTCCCACCTCTATAAAACTCAACATGTCTTCACTGACTTTTTACTTCACTTCATCCTGCAACTGGCGCTAAATGCGCTGGTGAATTAACAAAATAAATAATAAAATAAATAAAATAAATCTGACAGTTAAAAAAATATCCTTGCCAGTTTTACCTGTCCACAAACACTCGGCACGGTGAAAAATTTGCCGGGGTCGCTGATTCCACTAATGTAGTTTACATAGCCGTTGATGGAAAGCGTTGGAACTAGAAATAAAAAAGTGTGACCGAAATAAAAAAAGTGTGACAGACAAAATAACATTGTACTGTTAATGCAGGGATTCCATTCAGAAAAATCGGTTTGGACAATAGATAACCCCCATATTGCGACCAACAAGTATACCTCCGAAATTCCTCCTTCTTGAGTAAATTCCAAAATACATTTTCGAGCAATTCTTATGCGGTGCTATTTAAGTACCCAACAAAGACAATTAACTTCTACGGTACGTCCAATATTGTTCTGGTACCCCACATTGCAAGGAATCATAAACACACGTACGTAGATGTATTTCCATCTTAGAAGGATCTGGTATTGTTTCTGGTTACATACCATTATTATTTTGTCCCTGCTGGACAAGGCTGATGGGCACACATTCTTCCTGGGAAACAGTTATGGTAACGTTGCCTACGAAGTCTCCCTTGGGCTGGTAATACTGGAAAATATCCACGTTCAACTGATGGTTACCATAGTAACTTGAGCCCAAATAGGCTGCACTATCTATATATAAAAGATGTCGTTGAGAATTTAACAACAATCAGAAAAACATTTGTTTAGACACCTGATTAGATATATTTAATTGTCATAGATATGATCAAAAGACATAAAGTATGCCGGAAAAGGTGCAATTTTATGAATTTTCCTATGATGATCAAGTGACATGCAAAAATTATGTAAAATGTACGAATGCACTACTGACATTTTCGGAGGAAAACCACCCATAACTATTTCAGGGAAAACCCACAGACTCATGTAGGCATTGAAAATCCAATCCACTTGTGAACCGAGCAGGATTCGAACTCAGGCCCCAAGAGGTGGAAGGCGAGGAAATAAACATTAGGGCCTATATTGTAGCTCTCGCAAAGAAAAATCAAGATTGACGCGCATACTTGATTATCGATGCGCGCGACCAGAGACGAGAGACTTGGGGGGGGGAGCGTACCATAGGTGTTCACAAAAGAACATAAAACAATAGAACATTATGCATGCACACTTACACCACCTGGTTTCAAGTCAAATCACGCCACAGATCTTACCAGGAATGCTGTGTGTCATATTGGTCCCCGGAGGCAGATGATGGACGAGGCAGACAGAAATTTGAGGTAAGATTTGAATTTCATATTCAATTTCCTGATGATTGAAAAGGTCAAACGAAAAAGGTTTCAAGGTTACAAAAATCTGGAAAGGTATGTAAAAGTTAAAAGACAAAAAGGAAATATTACATGACAATTAACAACGTACAAATCATAATACAGATGCTTTTTCATCTTCCATTTTTATCGTTTTGTTTCTGGACCAATTTGCTGCCTATAAAGACACAAATGACCAATTAAAACACGTCTCTCCCGTCTGTTTGGATTCCCCCCTTTAGCCCCCCTGCACTCCACCCATTGTTTTTTAAACACCTGTATCTGCCGCTGAGTTGCTGTGATTTCTGAAACATGCCAGAGTCAAAGTACAGCTTCTCACAACTTCCTACACTCTAAACCTAAATTGAAATTATATGCCTGTAATGAAAAACTACACGATGTCCGCTTCTTGGAAACCAAAATCCCAGTTGACCTGCGTGTTTGGCATAATAAAAGGGAGATTAGGTTTATGCACACACGGCTGAGAACGTACAGTGATGACCATCCCTCGTAGAGTGGAAACATTTTCCTAACTCTGCAAACGTCTTTCGCGGGAGTAATGGAAACCAACACTAAAATCAAGTTTTGACATGTGTCTGTCCTTTCAATGAAACGTTGAAAAAACATTGCACAAAAGATAATGAAAGTAACGTGACTATAACATTTTCACTTCTCATTACGATGTATAAGGGTTAATTTGGCCATAACTGTTTTAATTGAGGTATGTTTTTTGCTTGTTGAGCGTATGACTTTTGAGGTAAAATTGCGCCCCCATCAGTTGAGGAGGTCGAATTCCGATCACTCTACGTCCAATAACTTTTTTTTACCTTATTGTAGTCAAAGATGTTCTGGTATTTGGTTTGCTGTCCCATGTTTTCTTTGTAAGCGATTGTAGCCAAACGCTTGTTAGTGTAGTCGAACGCGTATTGATGAACTGCATTTGTGACTGAGCCTTGGCCTCCCATAACTGTTCCGGTCAGTGTGCCTGAAAAAAAAAACAGTTTCTTCAACATAATATTTCTGACAGCATTCTGTCTGTCGTAGCAATCAAACAAAACCGATGTCATAATATCAAATGAGCAAACGAAAACACATCCTACTTCCTGCCATGGATACTGAGGCTCGGTCATTTTCACATTGCCTTCTATCAAAAGAAAAGCGGGTCGGGGGCATTTGGTAAAGTTTTTAAGGGAAATGAGAGGAAAGCAAGTTTCCATTTCCTTTCCCTCTAAAAGTGTGTCCAAATTAACCCTTTTCTATCCACGATTTACAAATTTAGCCCCCCCCCCGTCCGAAAGCATGTGGGCCCCGATAAATTGGTTGCGGATCCGTAGGCCTAGTCTACATCAGAATGTCCTGACACCGACTTTGAGGATGCATTTTCATAATCTTTCATCAGCAAAGTTGTAGGTTTTTTTGGGGGGGCAGAGTCGTGTAACTAAGAACACGATGCAAACCATAAATACCCAGTTTTTGCGTGGCAACCACTGATGATGAATTGACAGTCAAGTTATACCCCTCTCGCTGTTCACATTTCTAGCTGCTCTGACATTTTCCCCACCATGGGTCGGCAGTTTTCAGGTCACAACCCTTCCCTTCACAATATAAAACTCTCCGCCACTGTGTCATTCGCTAATAGGCTGAACCTGCAGCTTAGCATCATTTTCCACTGTTTACATTACAAGAAAAATGTCGTTTTGAAATGATCACGTGTATTATCAATGCAGATTTCATGAGGCTTTCCGTAATACTCTGTACTTACCCACACTACCCTCAAACTGGTTAGGAAAGCAACACTTTTTCTGAGCATAGCTTGTTGCCACGGCAACCAGCAGCAGAAGCAGCAATGATTTATCCATTTTGACTGTTTACCAATAACACAATAGGGAAGAATGACCAAGTTGGAGAAGGTTTGAAATTCAAGACGACATCAGAGCGAAGCCAACTGTGAAGAAGGGGGTAAGTAAACGATCACACGATGATTATTATTAGGTCCTGCATGGTGTGCGTGACTATACACGTGGTTTCTGGGTCAATGAGACAGTACATATTTGGGGGTTATGGTTGTTGTACTATGATCAAGTGCTTCACCTTGACCAAAGAGTTCCCAGTCTTGTGCTAGACATGGAGTTGTTTATAGAGTTTAACCTGATGCAATTGACCCTATCGCGCGCACGTGACAATTCTCAGTGCGTATACTCATCCCCCTCATAAAATGAAAATGAAACAGGAAATCCAAATAAAAACAGCTTTTTCCCTGTACTTTTTTCTTAAGTTGTGGGTTTAACTCTTCAGAAACGAAAGTATACTTTGAATCCAGTGAGGACTTTGACTGTCTGTTCGAGTCTTGTGACTTCTGTGTGAGGCTTTTTAGCTGTACCAAGTGGTACCACCTCATGTGTTTGTGTTTATACGTGACACCGATTTTTCTTGTCCAAACCAAACCGAGAGCAAACCAAATATGTTTATCGCTGCAAATGACGTGTTCATATTATAACCTCTAAGAGGCTGGCTTTTTCGTACTATCTCACGGTCGGGAGTTGGGGTTCCGCCCCTATATGAAGTCAAAATTGTCCAATGTCTGATCTGTTTCACCAAGTTAGTTCCAACATGATTGCCAGACATAACTGGAACATCCATGTAGGTTCGGGAGTTGGGGTTTCGCCCCTATATGAAGTCATAATTGTCCAATGTCTGATCTGTTTCACCAAGTTAGTTCCAACATGATTGCCAGACATAACTGGAACATCCATGTAGGTTCGGGAGTTGGGAGTTCCACCCGTATATGAAGTCATAACTGTTTGATGTCTGATGTGTTTGAAATTTAGCTGACCTGTTTCGGTAGGCCTAAAGTGGTAGCATCGCAAGAATGGTACGTTTGATTTTCACCAAATCGGTGCCAACATGATTGCCAGATATAACTTAAGTTTTCATGTAGGCACAGCGCAGAAAAAAACAATCATTTCAATTCAACGGAGGTGTTGGGGGCATAGGTCAAACAAAAATTAAAATCGTGATTTTTTTTGGGGGGGGGTGCATGCGCACCCACACTACCAAACAAAACAGGTGGCACAGCAACTCGTGTACCAGACTGATTAGATCGGACTTTGTCTAAGCTGTCTAGTCACAGGTTGGCCTGGAAAACTTTTGAAAAATCAGACTAAAGGTCTGGGAAATATTGTCAGAACTAGGAATGTAAAGCAGAAATGATATCACTGTGGTTAAATTTGTCATTTTGTAAAACTTCTTGATTGTAAGTATCAAAGGGATGAGTGGGGATTGATGGAGAGATGGTTGATGAAAGCGGTTACACATAACTAAGAATCTTATCAGTCCAACTGAAGCAAATAATGATACAGTAATACTTTCCATTTATTTCAAAATCATGACGACGATTTGTTTTTATTCCAAACCACGCACGGCGACGCAAAAGCAGTTTCTTTAAGATTTCTCTTGAATCAACATGAGGTTGGAATAGGGAAACTGGCCTCAGCGACAGTTCCAATAATTTTTCTTAAGCCACCGCACTTGAACTATTATCCATCTTTTGAACAACATTTTGCAAACTGTAAGCTTGGAAACAAAATGTGACAAAAAAGAAGGGGAAAGGTGGTAGCGCTTTGAAAAGAGCCTACAAACAAATGTGTCAAAGGTAACATGCACCATGTCCGTGATGATGAACCAGTACGCAATGACATTCTCACAATATCCTGACAAAAGGTGTGACGTACCGCGTAGTCTCGTTACTGAATGACTGCAATAGAAAACGGACAATTCACAAGCCTTAAAATCAAAATAGAATTTGATTCATCTAATATATTTATCGTCCTCTCATCATATTACAATACTGAGATCACAATGCACATACTGAAAACTAAATATTGAAGATAATGCATTATTTTACATATGTAGTATCACGCGCCTATACACAGTTTCGCTTGTTAGCTCTTCAAGACAGAGTTACCTTAGGACAAAGGTCAGGCACGGTGAAATACTTGGATGGGTCTCTGATACCATTGGTGTAGTTCGAAAAGCTGTCAACAAAAAGTGTAGGGACTGGAAAAGGAAAAAAACACAAAGGAACAAGTTCATGAATAGGTTTTTTTTCTTCATATTTGCTACTGCTATATACGCAAGCAGGTAACTGTAAGCGCGAAACCTCGTATTTTATCACATGGCCTAAAGGTCAAGACAGGTCAAGTCAAGGATCTTTATTACGTCCCGCATTAGTAACTAAACTGCCCGCATCTAGAATTAGTACTAAACCGGCTACGTATACAGTGACAGGATAATACAATTACAGTTAAAACTGTTACAAATTCCTTAAACTGTATAAAAAAATATAAACTATATAAAATATTGGTCCGTCAAGAACGATGGGACGTGTGAATTTATAGTGATTTATGGGCGCCGTTTATACATTTTGCGGCGATCCATTGACAGAGATCTGAATACTTTCAGGGATTTGGGTCAATCACACTTTACATAATGTAGCACGTCAAAGAATTGCCTCCCTTAAAACAACACGAATTCTGTTAAAGCTTTAGATCTCAGGTTTTAATAGAGGAACGTGCGATGAATGAAACTGCTTTTGTTACATGTCAGGTGTTTGTTGACAGGACGTTGTAAAGCTACAAATGTTAACAATACTTGGAGAACTAGAGACTTGAAATCGATGAATGGCACTTCGATCATTTTGTTTTTAATATTGAATTCGGTACTATCTTACCATCATAAAGTTGGCCTGTGACTACGGAATTGAAAGGGATGCATTCACCCTTAGTGACGGACAGGGTGATATTGCCAGCTAATGGTTCTGTTTGTGAGGAGAACTTGAAGACATCGACGTTGATCTGGCGATCGCCATAATATAAGGAACCCGTATAGATTGCATCATCTAAAACAAAAGAGGAAGACGGAAATGAAGAAGTCTTTGGGATGAATAATCCGAGCGATGCGATTCCTCAATGTAGCGCGAATCATACTGAGGCATGGAAGTGATATTCTGTTCGATGAAAAAAAGAAAAGAAAAACAAAAACAAATTGGAAAAATTGTGGTCATTGAAGCCGTGTCTCACAGAATCGCACTGAACTAACCATTCCAGAAGTAGGTGCTTTGTCTATGAGAGAGGCTTTATTTTGGAGCTTATTTGCAAGGGCAACTATCCCCATTCTAATTTCATTACATATTGTCCAGGACCTGGGGTGCCAGGGCGCCCTTTTTCCAGCCAGATAACCAGACTCAGGCGCTTGTCGTTGTGGGCGAAACTGTGCACAGAGCTCGGGGCAAACGATGAAATCGCAGACGCGCGGAACAGTAGGCTGTCTGCTGTAATAAGATTGCTAACCTGGAATACAGTGCAGCATTGTGGCCTGTGGTGGAAGTTTTCCCTTCGAGCAGGCTGAAACAATCGATGCAATCTGGATGATGTATTCGACACCCTGGATGAGTCCAGATTAAAAAAAAGTGAAAAATATTGCAGGATGACCCTACGCCTCTAAGGAGGATTTCATCCGAGACGAATGAACGACATCAGACAATACAGATTTAAAAAGTCATGCAGAGGAATGAAATTATTTTAATCGGGACAAATTTCATGTTAACTTCGTTACAAGTGGAAATAGAACTTTCCGTTTTTCCTGTAGGAAATGTTCAGTTGACAATTTCACTTTGTCGACCTGTCCAGAATTGGTCCAACGACTTACTTTGGCGTAGTCCACGATATACTGGAATTTTGTCAGTTCTCCCTGGTCTTCAATGTATGCAAATTCAGCCAGGCGTTGGTTGGTGTAATCGAAAGCCAACTGGTAGTTTGCGGATACTGCCACACCTTTGCCAGCCGAGGTTGTGCCTACAACTTTACCTACAGTGCGACAGGAACACCCAGTCATGTTTTGCCTGAGGAAGTGGAGACGATTCTCCCAGTGGCTTCACTGAACTCTGGTACACCGTTGGATTAACAACTCCAGTCCTCAATAATTCATAGCTGATGTGTTTCCCTATCGCTTCAAGTTTTCTTCGGATTTTTATCTTCTTTTCCTCTCTTATTTGATTTTTAACTTTAAAGAGTAAAACATGTATTTTGTTTGGGGCAAATATACTGCATTCGCCAAACATCTTAAAATTTTAACGTCTGTTTTCCACTTCTCTTCTTTTCTTTTTTTCAAGGAAAGACAGGTTTGCAAATTCACACTGAGCCTACATATGAGGCCTAGTCACTATATTGCATTCCAGCTTGCATTCGTTTTCACCTTGTGGAATTGCACACATGACCTCAAGAAATCATCATTCTTATCATTATATTAATAAATATTCATTCGATTTTAAAATATATCCGAAATTACATGTATACACTGCACCACTTTAATTTTGTAAGTTGAAAGTTGTTTCCACATTCGTTGGGCGTAATGTGAAGGACTCGCAGAGTAGCATGAAGTCAATGCAGACAATGAAAAGTTGCTTTCATACGGTGGCCCACAACTGTCACGTGCCGTGGCGCTTTTGCTTCTGCCGTGACCCTTTTGCTTTTGCCGTGAAAGTTGTGGGCCACCGTACTTTCGACATCCAAACGGCACTTTCAATGGTCTTGAGGTCAAGGGTCAAGCCGTGCACAATGCAGTGCAAAGACTAGTCTTGCCCAGGATATATGCAGCACTACCACCACGTTAGATCAAGTCATGCGAAATGGCACCCATGGCAGCAACAGTCGTGCGAAATTTGGAGTCCCCGATATGATTCACCGTCATAGCGCTTCTGACGAGACCATAACATCACGGGAATGTTCAAATGCAATTATCCCTGCAATCACACAAGCAAAACTTGAACTCATCTCCTGTACACTGAGAAAGGATTAAAAACAATCGAGAATGCTGAACTAATTTCAAACATGCTTACCATCTATGGACTCAAATTGGTCAGGAAAACAACACTTCTTTGGAGCCAGAGTGGTTGCCATCGCAACCAACATCAGATTCGCGAACAGCAACGACTTCACATCCATCTTTCAATTATGGATCAAGAGGTTTTACGGAACACGTACGGCCTGGTGTTTTATCATTCCTGGACACAGTCAACAAAGCGGGAAATACACATACGATTCTGTCGAGTTACGAAGTGCAAAGAACGAACAGACCTTGTAATCAATGCACATTGATGGAACAATGCATCGGTGCGAGCAGCCATGAACATGACCTCTGACCTTCAGACAGAATATGCTGTTAAAGGCACTGACTATGACTCCAAAATTATGCAGTGTCTTGGAACCTAGGCTTTTACATTTTACACTTAACTCGCCTGTCCGTCTTTCTTCCGACCAAATAGTGTAGCAGAACACATTTATATAAACAAATATCGATCACTAAATCTTTTAGGATGAACTATTTTTTGGCATTTTTTATTATGCACTTGCAATCATCGTCATTGCAAATCACAAGGGAGTTGAAAAAGCTATTTGATACAATCATGGTTCTTTGGTCCAAAATGCATTCAACAATAAACTTACAAACACTCTCAGTTCATAGGATCTTTTAAGAAATGCACAAAAAAGTTCCCAAAAATGTACATGCAAAACACAAAAGTGCTTGTGACACAAAACATTGCAGACACTTCAGGAAAAAAACTATAATCATAAAAAATATTCA